GTTCTCACTTACACTAAGCCTTTGCCCTGCAGCAGGTGGGGCTGACATTAATGCCCACCGTGAAGCACCTTCCTGGTGCTGAAGCTCCGGCACTGGCAGGAGCCAGGCATGGCCCGCTTGCTCTCCGAGGTGGACGCTGCCTCCAGCCTTCCTCCAGCAGCCGCTGGCCTCCTCCTCCTCCTCTGCCAATTCTGTGCTTGAACAACAAGGGGAGGCCTCGGCATATTYGTTTCCTTGAGGTGTCAGTGAATGTGCTCAGTTACAGGCCTCGTGTTTTCTCCGCTTGCTCTTCACTCACCAGAAGGAGAAACAGCTGAGGCCCTTGTGAAGTGCTCAAGCACAGAAGAGCCGTGAGGTGTCAGAAAGAGTAGCAAAAGAATGGTGAAATGGTGCACTTTTTTGATAAAAATATATTTTTCGATTGCTGTCAATGTTTGCTGAAGCACATTACAAGAGAAATATCTTGCTAAAGAATCAGTAATAGAACTGGACATGCATTCCAATTAAAGTTCCTCAAGCTACATAAAGACAAATATTAAGAATTCTTTTTTTATTTCACTCAACAAAAATCGTTGCAAAATGAGGACAGACTTTGAGAAGACACTCGTTTCTAAAGCACAGGTATGGAAGGCATGATATTTTATTTGTCCATAAAAGGGCTTTTCACTCCAAAGTGTTAGGTCTCAATTCTACTCTCAGTGAAAATTCTGAGTATCCTCTCCTAGGATTAAATTTGCCTTATGTGCAAACAAAGATTGAGGAGCTGAGCCCTAGGCACTGAATTCATTTCAGCCTGCCGTGATTTGGGGAAAAACATGGAATGGAAGTTCAGTTGCTGCCTTTGTTGTGCTGCTGGAGCAGTGCCACTGAACGCCATGAGAACCGTTTCTGCATCAACGTGCTGCCCTCCTCCCGGGTCAGCWCTGCAGAGACACACAGCTCTACGCTAGAAAAGCCTGATGTGTCTCATTCCACCACCTACCCAGAAACGCAGTAAGCTGGCCATGTTACAGGATGGCTTAACCTAAAACTAAATCTAGGCGCTCCTGAAAAAKAGCTGGAGGACAAAGCACCGTTCTGCTAACTCCATCAGAGCTGCCATATGTGTAAGTGCAGACGAAGTGTAATGCAGCTGTTCGTCTCATGAACCGTTGTGTATTTTGACAGTGTGGTTTTCCTCTCTTGCTTCCCTCTTTGCCTGGCTTAAACAATCAGTCTATCCACTGATGTACGAAAGAAGAAAACACAGCGTTCAGATGCCAGAAACGATCTGCTGCCTTTTATCAGCTATTTAGCATCCCTCTCTTCTTGCCAGCCAGTAGCATTATCAGCAACAATCTGTCCCTAAAAAAAAAAATAAAAAGAGCATTTTAGCTCCAGTGGTTTCAGAATTATGCAAAATCCTGTCCTGCATAAAACCTTTGCAGAGGATCCTTTTGCTCTAGGACAAGACAGCTCCTGGGTTTGGATCTACAYGCCTGGAAGGAGCTGCAGCTACTATCTCTGCATTTTGGGGATGAAGGTCTCTGTGGTTTACACCACCACACCTCCTCATGGAAAGGGATTGGGTTTCCTCTTCTGTGCATGCAACAGCTGGGTTATGCAACCGTTTCGGGGAAGGGGCTCAGCAAGCAGTCTCCACGGAAAGCACTTATCAGGAATACAACTGAAAAAACATCCGTGGTTTTTGTGATGGGAGTTCACGTTTATGATGCCATGGAACAGAGGAACCTCAAAAATACCYCAAATGACGAGTGTATTTCCCTATCTTTGTGGACATGTACATGTGYCCATCACAGCAGGATGTGTTTATAAGGAAAAAAGGGGAAAGAAAGGGGTGGGAAGAAAAGACTATTTACATGTATTTTTATGCCTGCCACATAATCGTCACTGACTMTTTATTTATTTATATTAAAGACCACCTGTATTCCATCTCAGGGACAGAAAGTGTTTGAATCTCCGCAATCACACCCACTTTTTCCATAGGGAGCAGTGAGCTCGCCGGGAGGCTGCCTGTGATTCCCACTCCAGTCAACAGGAGCTGCACGTGTGAGCACCGCACGAGAGGGAAGGTCCCTCTCCCTCCCGGTGCGGTGTCTCCTTGCAAGCCGAAAATTAATATTTGATAGCGGGGAGAGGCGAGCGGGCCGGGCCGCAGCGCGGCGCCCGGCTCCGTGCGTGATGTATAGCCGGCTGCCTAGCAGTGTTGCCAGGCAACACGGCACCATCCAGGAAAATCCCGCAGTGGCTCCGAGCGGCTGGTGGGGTTGCTGGGACGTGACRCTCCGCACACAGCACCGTGCGGTGCGGGCTGCTCTTTGGCCGAGAACACGGCRGCGGCCTCCGGTACCGCGGCCCCTCTCTTGCTCTTTCTGCACTGGGGAACTACACGGCGCCGCGAGCGTTTTCCACCGAAGAAAGATATCCCCCTCCCCTTCCTGTTTCTTAATTCTCTTCGAAGCTGATTTAGAGAGGGGAGAGTAGTGGAATTTTACAGCGACATCCCATGATGCTCTCGCTCTCAATCCCATGGCCTGGCTCATACCTCAGCCTAACCGTAAAGTCAGATCACAATGATGTGACTCACTATTACAACTAAAGATAGATCTTGTCAAAGCAGTCATGAGCCCTGGATGCTGGAGCTTGTTTTTGCAGYGGTGTTTTTTCTTTATTTTTTCCCCCCTGGCTCTGTGACTTTTGACATTTGGAGGTCGAGCCTGTGCTATGGAGTGGGTGAGCAGGCAGGTACAGTGCAGACGCCTGCTGAGCTGCAGAAAGCCACACAGCTGAGGGCRCAAGCTCAGCATCAAGCAGGTACCCACGGAGAGTTTCAGGGTGACAAGGGCTAGCAACCCCCAAGCACTACGTTAGCACAAGGGCACAACAGCCAGAGACAGCAGGGAGAAGTATTTTTACAGAGGGGCTGCTTCTAAGCCTAACAAACTTCTATGTTTTGTGCTTGCATAGCAGCTGTTTTCAAGTGCGTCCATTCACCTGAAGTGTTTAAGACCCACACAGAGCAAAGTGGCCCTGTTGAAGGAGACTGGAAAGCGAAACAACCTGGGCAGCATTAGAGAAACAAGGTCCTCTCGCCTGACCAGCAGTTCCTGGCAAGGCTGCAGAGCTGCTCGGCACCACACAGGAGCAAGGAAATAACAGGACAGGTGAGACCTGCTTTGTCAACAGCACTTGTCAAGGTACCACCCTGGCCCCAGCAGCAGGCAGGGGGGACACGCAGATTATGAGCTCCGGGGAGCCCCCAGGATCACATCRCTAATAGCTCAGCGGCACGAGCCGCAGCTCTGCTCCGGACGCCTCTGGAGAAACTGTCCCTAGGAAGGGCTATTCCTGCTGTTGCAAAGCCATGCAAATCCCCCAGCCTTAGCTGCCCAAAACTGTGAAAGGGATTGACTTTAATTATTAGGTAATAATTAGGTGAGGGAGCCGGCGATGGCTCATTTTTCAATGTACTGGATCTGTTTCAGCCTTGTAGAATTCCACTAGTGGGACAAACCCAGCCCGTTAATTTTAACCTGGCYATTTCCCTTTATGCCCCTGATTCAGGAATTCCCTATGCAAGGGCATGGTTTCAGTCATGTGAATATTCTCACTGCAGGCAATGTGACTGCTTGTGTACTTGGAGTCAAGCACATGCATATGTACGGGCAGGAGCAGGACCTAGAACAGCAGCAGGAGSGGAGCACCTGAGGAACCACACACTTTGAGGGGCTGTGAAAGGTGTCTGCCCACAGGAGGGATATTGCTTTTCCTGGACACCTTGATCCCTTCAAGCTTGACAATGTCTTTCAGACCAGCAGCATCTTTAGGAGAGGATTTTAAGGGAGTTGCAGGGGGGAGCACAGCRTCCAAAATATCATTAATCACTCCCTAAGTATTTCTAACAAAGAAGCTAGTTACGCAAAGGTCCTTTGGGGACTACAATCTATGTCTGTGACTTTCATAACCTTGCCCTGATTTTCCCTCTCCTGCGCTTGCAGGCAACACCCTTGGGGGCTTCATAGGAAGCCTCAACATCCGTGTTTTTCTACATTGCTTCTGTCTCACATTTCTGCTGTCCTTCAAATATACACACAGACACACACGAACCAAGTCACAATTTACAAACACCACGAACAACAATGATGTCCAACCAGTGTCACGTGCGAGCCGTGCTCCACAGAAGCCTTCTTTATCTCACACTTATATCATGCAGCAGTGTGGAAGACAGACCAGGAAAACATCAACCAGAGGAATTTCATGGATGAATCCCTGCTCAGTTTCTCTGTTATACCAAGATGATTTTTAAAATGTGAGCATTTTAGGTAAACATTTTATAGTATCTGCCTGCAGAATGAAATGGAATGAAAAACTTGACCCATCAGATTGGAACCTTCAGCATGTGATCTGGACAAGGGTGACTTTCACAGATACTGCACCATAAGATAARTGACTCAATGAGGTTCCTGAAATCAGCGGAGTTACTTTGGGTTACAGCAGTGTAAGTGAGATCAGGACGGTAATAAGAAGTGAATGCATAATGAAGGGGCGCATTGCAAAACAGGCTGAAAAACAAGAATCAGAGGACTTGCTGAATTCATTTGTCCATGACTCCCCAAAGGTTCTTTAATTTCCCTTCCTCAGCTAAATGAGGGGAAATACTRTTTTACCAAGTGCCAGGGCCATCAAGTTTCTTCACGTTTGCATGCGGACTATTTAAATTTGAATTATGAAAACAACCACCTTAGTTCCGTCCCAACTTTCTGTTTCAGGTTTGTGTATGCCTTTCAAATGAGCCAGGCAAATCCATGAAACTCATTTCACAGGACATTGAGCAAACGGAATGTGGAGTAATGTTCTTTAATTTYGGACGTATGATCAAATGCAAGTGCGCCACAAGGAAAGAGAATGAGACAAGCAACGGACTTGAAAGGGACAAAAGCCTCACCACACTAGCCCTGGTTAATATATGAACAAAATCCTATTATTAGTATTGGCTTCCCTCTTGTGGCAATGAGCAAGCTGTAGTCTGAATAACACGTAACCAAAAGTTGCTAAGACACCTGTCGAACACAAAAAGCAGCAAGGTCCCTGTATCCATAAACAAGGCAGCGAATTTCAGTTCAGGGTAGGTTCAAAGACTTACACATGGCAAGCGGTCAAAAGGCTGGAGGCTGTTGTTGTACATTTCGGAGTTTTACTCTSAATTTACTCTGAGCAGTATCTGGCCTAAGTTTAAACTGAAGGAAGAAGGGAGTTCCACATGAAGGAGCCCTGGCAGGGCTGGAAAAGGCTAGGTTTCCAGCAGGTGCAGCATGGCAACAACAGTGCAATTGACTCAGGGTGCTTCACCTGGGACACCTGTGATGGAGAGGGTGGTTCATGGCCCAGGCCCGTTCAGTCAACAAACTGCATCCATCAGTTTGGTAGGCATTTTCATGACAGACCTCAAGGATCTGGACCTGGAGGAACTTCTCACACATGCTGCTGGATGGGGAAAAAACAAATAAGTAAAAGCATCATTGCTATTAATACAATATGTTTTACGGACAGAACTTAAAGCTGTTTATAAGGGATGTGTTGGTTTCAGTCTTGCTCTTTTGAAAGGGGGAACTGAGGTGCTAAATACTTGGGAGCCAATCAGTGGGCCCAAAGCAGAGCTGAAAACAGGCGCCAAATCTCCCGTGTGTCACTGCAAAGCTGCCCTGCCACTGTGCAAAGCAGTGAAGTTCCCCTACGACTGCTRCCTACCCCAAAGTATGTCCATGTTTATTATTCACACACTTTCCCAAAACGGGCTTTCTTATTACCAGTGTTTCACACCCAGCCTTAAAATAGCAAAATGTCCAAGTGATCCCCTATCACATTCACCAGTGCAAGGCCTTACTGATAAGCACTTATTTTACCAACCTATGAAGCTCATTCCACAGTTCACCCTTAAATTAATTTAGCAGGCCTTGTTAGGTTAGCCTAAAAGAGACATTGTGTCAACACTTTGGTATTGTATTCCCCTCCGAACCCCCTTTTACTACAGCCTGCTGTAATAGCACAGAAAATTAACTAGAAACACAGGGGCAGCCCAGAAGTATCATTTGCGCAATAAAATTGTAACTCTCTACCATACAGGACGAGATCCTGCCCTTGGAGGTGAGGAAAACACAGGCAGAGGTGTTTGCTTTCTGCAAGCATCCTGCCAAAGGGCTCACAGTGCAGTAACTCAATGCTAAGGTCAGGGAGTTCAGTTGCCTACCTCAGTTAAATGGGTTTCTGCTCTTTCTCTGAATTCCCCTATTTTTTTTCTAAACCAGAAAGAATGATCATAAAACCACACAAAAAAAAGTGTGGTTTTTTTTGTTTGTTTTTTTGTTTTTTTTTGCCCCTCATCACTGAACAAAATAAGCCCTCTGTGAACAGGAAAAGCAATCAGGTCTTCCCTAAGCAGCCAGGCTGCAATAGGGAGGTCATGGCACTCACAGAGGCTTAGCCTCTGGGGAGCCGTTGCCACAGAGCACTTGAACTTACCTGCCCAAGCAGAACAGCCGACGGAGTCAAGGTACAGAAAACACCCAAGCGAATTAGATGCAGCAAGAGTCCCAGCTGTCTCTAGGAGAGAAAAGAGCAGCACTGCCCCTGAGGAGAAAACAAGACTTCCTTCAGCAGAGACAGAGACCAGAGGTCATAGCTTCCCTGGGCCACACAACCCAAACCTGACTTGAGTATCACAAGAGGACACTCTCCTGCTCCTTGTAAATAACATTACCTTCCCTCCAGAGGTCAGGACCCGCCTTGCAGCTCCACCCTGCCCACTCAGGGACCCTCCTCACCTGAGCTGGGAGCCCCTGGCACACTCAAGGGGAAACAGCTGGGTGCCATTACTGAGCAGCAGGTTCAGGGGAGCCCTCAAAAGAGGCTGAGCACCAACATTTCAGGTGAGTCTCAATGAAGGAGAGGAACTCAGGGCCTTTAACCTGACTTAACTTTTCTGACTCACTGGCATAATCACTGGTTTGAGTTTTTTTCTTTCATGGAAGCAGCCCCAGTTCAGCAGAAGGGAAGTCTGGCGTGTTGTGTGGAGCTGACCTGTTACGCGCTGAGTGTCGTGACGCCGCCTCGTGTGCTGTGGACAAGTTGCATTTAGTTCATTTTTCTGCACGCTGCTTAGTGGCCTGTGGGAGAGCCTTGCTCTCACTACGGATTTTGTGACACCTCACCCAGTAGGGCCGGGATTGAAATATCCCTAATGCTACCATGGAGCAATCGTCACGCCCCTGTGAGGGACACGAAGGGGTTGATTGCTGAGAGATCCATGGCTGTTGTGCCTCTCTGCAGTCTGGAGCTGCAATAAGCTCAAGCTTAAATGAATCTGAGCTCAGACTAGTTACTATCAAGGCTTCCCAAAAAAACAGAAGGGAGGATATATTTTACATCATTTCAGTTCCTTGACTGTACAATAGGCTGATATGACTTCAGTAGGAATGAACACTTTAAGGTTATAATCCTGGGAGCATTGACCTCCGCATGAAGAGGCAGCCCCCAAAGGGGATGTTCGTCCAGGTGCTTCCCAGGGAAGAGTGTGTAAATGGAGTGTTTGAACGCTCACAGCTACGGACCTAAATGATCAAACTGAAACAGGGGACTCAATCAAACATCAAATGATGACAGAGGCATCATTTGATGCCCTGCATCATATGCAGGGCTTAATTATTTTTTAGGACCAAAAAAAAAATAGGACCAAAAAAAAAAAAAAAAAAAAAAAGGATTATATCAGTGGAGGAATTTTTAACAGTAACCAGCTCAAGAAAAGCTTCAAGATTCATATTTTTGTTTCAGAATGAGGTTTAAAGGTATAAACTGTTTATCCTTTGTGGGATTTTGCATGTCTAAAAGTAACCTGAGGGAGGTGCTCTAATTTTAATGTCAGAAAACATGATCAGGCTTTGACCCATTCCCAAGTTCATYGGGATCCTCAGCTTTCAGTTATTTGACTGGCTTCAATAAGCCACATTTTTTTAGGTATAAAAATGTTACAAGATCATATGGTGTTTCAGAATAAGACTAGTAAAATTTTGGATACATGGCCTTAGTTCAAATAAGTCCATGTCATAATAAGATAAGATCCATGAACACCATTTCAAAACACCCATGCATGGACATTATCACAAAAATTAGAAAGAATATGCTCTTTTCCTTAAAGAAAAACAAAGACTTTTCTACATTTTAGATGTGCATTTCATAGGACTGCAAATATGAAAATTACTGAGAGGAACGGTGTTATACCAGGCTTAAATCTGTCTTGGACTACACTTGTACATCTTTGAATGTCACCGTAGCAAGCACAGCTAGAGCCAGAAGGAAAATAATTCCAACATCTAGAATAAAGCAATTGGTGATCTTGTCTTATCTCTGGGGGGATGGTAGCACAGCTTCTTCATTGCAGCTGTGTTTCCTGCAGAGCGTGATTCCAATTCCCTGGGTTTGATTTAGCCAGACCCATCACAAAAGCGAGCATTAGTCTTTCAATTTGTAGCAAGAGCAACATCTAGTGTTTGAAGTCTGTCCTGCACATTCATGCAGCAAGCCTGTCACTGAGGCAATGCTAGTCACACCACAGAAATAATTACTCAAATTTCATAGCAGCTCTGAGAAGCAGGCAATCATTTTACCTTTTCTCACAGAAAAGATGGGAGAAATAGGGAGGACAAGGGCTTAATCTTTCCAGATAGCTCAGAGATATGCTGGGCCTGAGCGTGCTGTTCAAGGTCACACAGGGAAATAGCAGCAAAGTCAGAGCTACTGTCCGGGTTGCCTGTCCTGCGCTTTACCTGCAAGGCTGCCTCTTTGCCCCAGGGGACGTTCGGATCTGGTTTATCTGAGGGGAGGAAGGAGCTCGTTGTATTTCAGAGGCAGTTTCGCTGTGCCAGAGGACACCGGAGTTGCCTGCAGGGATGCAGAGGTGATGTTTTCTTTTGAAGAACTTGTATGCAGAGGTTTCTTTCAAACTTGTACGTGGAGATTTCTTTCATGGTGCCTCTACATGGTGGGAAGCACATGTGACCTACAGGAACCCCCCAGGAGCRCAGGAAAGCACATGGGATGCTGAATCCTGCGTCGCGTCACTCTAGTGCAGTAACAGCAACCACCCCAAGCGATCCCTGGGGCATAGATGACTTTTCCCTTTGCCCCTCCGTCTGCAAAGACACTGCAACAACCAGACTGCAGTGACCCATCTGCTAAACACGCTGCAGCTGCTCACACAACACACCACTTTGGGGCCTGCAAGGATAGCAACCGCTGCAGTCACTGTAACTGCCTCCAGAGCCACATTCCTATGCCTGAGGGAAAAATAAAAATAATTTTCAGCAATGCAAGGCAACGTGCGGGAAGAGACAGGGTTATCCTCCCAGAGGAGGACAGCCAGGRCTGCGCTACAAGCGGCCATCCCTGCCTCACTCGCTGGGCAGCCRCATGGCCCTGACTCACGCCTTTTCCCCTCTAACACTCAGCCAGGGCACCTCGGAGGGGCTCGTGGAGCGGCGCCGGCCGTTGGGCGCGCGCCCGGGACCGTTACGGACCGTTGGGCGCGCGCCGCYGCCCCGCCCCGCCCCGAGGAACCCCCCCACAGCTCCCAGCGGGCAGCGCGCCCCGCGGAACTACCTT